AGAGATGATGATTATCGTGGTTGAGGTAGAGGTCAGGAGAGAGGGAGAGGGATGGAGAGAGAGAGAGAGAGAGAGAGAGAGAGAGAGAGAGAGAGAGGACGACTCTGCTCCCCATGTGCTCTTTAGATCGCTTTATATCGCGAACGACCGCGCGGGGAGGCCGCTGGACCGTTGGACGTGTACACAAGTGTGCTGGAGCAAATGAATGAAGGCCCGACCTTGCGCACACACATGCCTGTCAGCGCGTGTTGTTGGCGTGTGCTCTAACGGAGGGCCCCGCCTTCCTCTCCGAGCAGACTGTGGAGAGACGTACAGGCCCGGCTGCACCGGTATGATGGTGTGCATCGCGGCCCGCGAGGCGGCCCGCCGGGGCAGGAGGCCGCAGGCACCACCAATTAACGCTGCTTGGATGTTATTAAACATGTCATCACGAAAAATTAATCATCGTCTTTGGGTGGGTATGTTTACTTGGTGTTTATTTTTTCGCCAGAAAAAGAAAATGACACTCCCCCAAAACCTGAGCTTGTTAATTATGCAGACGAAAGTTTGGAGCATGGTACATGCCAGTACTTTAAGGTGAGCGATAAGTTGCCGCTGTCTATGAGAATTATCGCGCGTCTCACACTCTCTTGTACTACTAGACAATTGTGAGTGTATACACTTTTTCTCCTTTTTTCAGGCGCTTCTTTCTAGGTGCAACACACTTCCTCAAACACGTTTATTTCTTTACAGAGATTATCTCTCGGATCAAGAGGTAAGCATTTTTTTTTCTGCCTGCAAATTCGATGAATGAATTGTAATGAGGTGTACCTCTGCGCATTCAGCGAGTGGTCTCCGTACGGGACCCTACTAATTGCACGAGGCGGCCAATGGCCAATATAATGACGCCACACACACACACAGCCACACAGAGTAAGGAGCCGCGAGCATTCAAAAAGGCTTTCAATAGAGGCAGCACGGTAAGCAGCGGCCGAGAGAAAGCCCCCCGCGCGCTGCACGGCGCACATGCGCACCCGCACGGTGAGCAGGGCGAGCAGAACAACACGCTCGCAAACGATATGCCATCGTGTTGTGTTGTTGTTCGGATGCCGTCCGATGGGGCGGGTCGAGGCGTGAGGCAGAGGCAGGGCAGCCCACCCGCCGCAGCTCTGCTGAGACAAATAATGGTGTTTATGGGGTTGGCAGCCCACCTCTCTCTCTCTCTCTCTCCCTCTCTCTCCCTCTCTCTCTCTCTCTCTCTCTCTCTCTCTCTCTCTCTCTCTCTCTATCTATCTCTCTTTCTGTCCCCGCCCGCATATTAATTTCGAATTGTCGTCTCTGTCCCGCTCGTACTTCCTAGTACCGCCCCGCCTCCGGCACCTCTGCGTCTCATATGACGACACCTCCCGCTCCCGCCCGCCCCCGCTCGCCCCTGCCACGCCCCAGACAAACAGACAAATAACGAGACAGGTGACACGACAGACGAGACAGGTGACGGAACGGCGCCTTGGCGGTGTCTTGGCGCAATTCGACGTAGCCGCTATAACTTTAATTCTTTTTCTTTCTTTATTTATTATGACTCTTATAATTATATCGCCATTTGGCAATGCGTTGCCGGCCACCACAACGGCTCGCGTCATTTTACTTCGCTCCTTGTTTATTATCTTTATTATCTCCGCAAAAGCGCTCGCTGAGGCGGTATGCGTTTGGCCTTTCCCCGGCGTCGCGTCGCACATATACGGTCGACGCAGCCGCGCGGTGAGCGCTGCCGGTTGTCTCGGAGTGTAATTGGCGGCATTATCGAAAAATCGCGCTTGGCGATCGCTTGCCATTAGGTCGCGTTTCCTCCACCAGAAGACACACGCCGTGCGCAGGGGCCTAACTATCCCTGATTGCGTCGACCTTTTGCCCTCGCTCATGAGAATAGTGCCAAAAATCGAGCTGCATTATCGTGTGTCGATAATCTATTGATTAGTTGGTCAAATTCATCGGTTGGCGCGAACAAACTAAAAAAAAAGTGACGATTACCATTTTTTTCGCGTTTTGTGGTAGTTACGCACCATTATGTGCGATGCTTGGTTGGCTTGGTTACACTGGAAAATAAACAAAGGTAGGACTTAGTGCCTTTAGATGTGCTAAATTTTAATGCCTTAAAGAAAGGCACGAAAGTGTCGAATGCACTGAAATTTTCTTTGATTTTCCAGTGTACTTGTTTTAATTTGCACAAAAATATGTACGTGGAGCATGTGTTATCCTTCAGTTTTAGTAAACCGACTAAAGCCTCTGGACACTTTAACTCTGTTTTTGTCGTTTCGTTTTGTGCATCCTGCTTGCGTTGTCGCGCAAAAGAAAATAGTGAGTACTTTTCTGTTCTTTTCCACGACACGGTTCGGTTGTGCCCGGTGCCTGCGCGGCGATCACGCCTCAGCCTCACGCGTGGGGCTTTAGGTCTCTATCGTTTGCTATAGAGATGCCTGCCTTGTGGCTCCAGGCAACATCTTCGTTGGCGCCGGTCAGACTGCCTCGCTTGCCCAGCTTTCCAAACTGTTAAAATTGTGTTCGTCACTTTCCGAATCCTTTGTAATAATCGAGGTTATAAGGTATTGTAGATATCACTCAGAAAAATAATTTGCTATATGTCAATTATCATATGGTATGGTTGGATTAGGGATCATCATAAAATATGGCTGAGACAAATATCAACCTGAGGCGAAAACAATTGATTTCCTGTTCTCGCAATGATTGTGTTAAGGTAGCACATGAACCAAAGTGCTCCCTGCTCCGCTAACCTCGCGATGATTGCCATAGCTAATCATTTTTCTACGTGAGCAGTGTGATTTTTTTACAGTGTCCTGTTGTCCTGTATCACGAGCCGTTCCCGAGAGATACAATCGCTCGAGGGGGGAAATGCAGACCTCCCGCCTGATCCAAAAGGCCAGCGCGGCATTTTATGTAAAATGTGCGCCTTTTACCCGCCAGCGGATAGCTCAGCGGCTCGTCGATACCTTAAAGACAGTCGTTGACTTTGCACACGCATCCAATATAATTCAGATCAGCTTGCTTCGGCCTCGACCCACAAATCTGTCTCGCGTGGCCAAACGTTTAGTACTATAATTATCATTGCAAGGGGGGGAGTGCAAAAAAATAAGGATAGACATACTCGATGTGTGTGTGTGTGTGTGTGTGTGTGTGTGTGTGTGTGTGTGTGTGTGTGAAGTCGCATATAGGCACCTTGGGTCTACCACACGTGCTCACCATTAGCATACGTTGGGGCTGCTGGCCAACCAGCCGTGCGCACAGCGCAAAGTGAGCGAGTGCATGTGCGTGTGCGAGTGTGTGTGTGTGTGTGTGTGTGTGTGTGTGTTTTCGTGCGTGTGTGTGCGGGATGTGCGTGATATAAAAACGCCCCGATTGTAAAACACGAAGCTTACGAACGTGTTTACTCGTGTGTTAGTGTCGACAGAGTAGCAGCAGCGGCGGCGGCGGCGCACTGCAGGCGGCGGGATTTAAATATTGCGCCTCTGCTGCATTGGAGCTGCGTGAACTCTCAGTGACTTTCTCGCCATAAATTGTTCGGGGTGAGCCAAGCGGCGGCGTAAGAAAACATCGTCTTCATTAAGTTATTCAAAAAATAAAAAAAAAGATAATCAAATTTACTTTGCATGGTCTTCTCCTTTAAACGATCAGTTTGTTTTTTTTAATTTATATTTTACGGTGCATACGTACGCATGAAGCTGCCCGGCTGTGCCCGACTATGCCTGTCTGTGCCCGGCTGTGCCCGGCTGTGCCCGACTATGCCTGTCGGCGTAAGTGACCACGGCCGTCCGTCATCTCCAGCGCTGTCCGACCTGATGAATGGCCGGCCGGTGGCGTGAGAGTGAGTGAGATGGGGGCTTACCGTAGGCGCGACGGAGACGGGCTAATAAACGATACCCTATCGTGCCGTCCTTGTCGCACTCTTTCATCCCCCCGACACCGTTAAGTGGTCCGGGGATGCGCCCGCGCTCCTGCTGGCCCATAGAGGAGGCAGAGAGAGCCGCGTATGGGAAAGCCGAGGACAAACTCGGTCAGTGGGAGGGCCGCCACCACCTCGCTTTGGCTTTTGAGGGACGGCTTTGTGTGGGTGGGCGAGTCTATATAATACGACATCTCCCACTCGTCCGCGAGCGTATTTTATTGTTTTTGTTTGCTGCGTTGCTCATCCTGTTGTTGTTGTTGGCAGGACGCTCCCATGGAGAGTTGATCCCTCGCCGCCACCATGAGGCTCGGCAGCCTGGTCCTGGGCGCGGCCCTCGCGTCATGTGAGTATCAAAACACATCTCATCATCGTCTCTGCAAAAAATCGAAACGCATCACATTCAGTCGACGGTAGTAATCGTTAAATAAAATTTCGGCATTTCTAAAGAGGTCAAAAAGAGGCCGTCAGTAGGAGATCTCGAAAAGAATGCTAAATTTTATTGGCATTTAAAGAGGGATGAACATTTGTGAAAAATATCTTCTTCTTGAATTTACAACATATTTTGTATTTTCGATTTGCAAAATATTCTGAAGGTTATCGTTCAAAATTTTCCTGCAACCTTTACAAGAATTCCGCACAGTGACAAAGCCCTCTGGAGTGCTGAGCGGCCTCTGCGTTTCGAGTGGGACACGGAAAGCCAATGGACTGGACAGTCGTCCGTTGCGCCGTGTCGCTGGCCGCGAGGACCGGGAGTCGGTGGGTGTTCGGCTGAAGTGATAATGATGCTATTGGTGCTGAGGGAGCCGACTCCGCTACCAGCCGATACACACCGCTTGCTACCGTCTGCCGCGGCCGGGCCGGGTGGACGTATCTCGACGACGCGGCCTCGGGACTTGCGTCAGTCTGACAGAAACGGAAAGTGACACAAGCCGGGCCAGGCAGGGCAGGTCCCCAGAGTCGAGGGGGAAATCACTTGCGAAATAGTTCGTACACCTTCCCCCGAAATAGTCCGAAATAAAGGCGAAATAAAGGCGAAATAGAGCGAAATTAAGACGAAATAGACGCGAAATAGTCGGTGAAATAGTCGCGAAATACCCATGAAATACTCCGAAATAGCGCGAAATAGCCTGAAATAATCCGAAATAGGCGGGAAATAGCCGAAATGGCAGGAGAAATAACCGAATTGGTAGGAGAAATACCACGAAATAGTCCGTACGCTACGAACCCTAGTGATTTCCCCCTCGCCCAGAGTCTGTATCGACTGAGCGGCATTCCTCGCGGGTGACGGAGGAGGGGCGGTCGGGCCGTTTCCAAACCCCGCGATGCTCTATGGACAGGTGTCGGTGATCACTTTTCCGAATGTGTTGACACGTTTCTTTTGACGAGCTTTTAAAAATCTCTCACTTACTCTACATTTCCTCGCTACTGTAAAATTTTAACATTTAAAAACACAAAACTCATCAAATTTAAATTGACACACGCAAGAAAACATGTTCGATTGGTTTGTAGGGACAAACTTGCTAACCGTTGTTCCATGTTGCAAATCTACACCATTTATAATTTGTGTACTGATGAGATAAAAATAAAACCAGTGAACGAAAATTTTGATAAAAACTGGATTCAAAACTGGAACGGCAGTCAGTAATCTTTAACAAAACGAACAACTGCCGGCAATCCTTACTACAACAGGGAACGTTAACGTTTACCTTCTAGAGAGACAGCCACAGGGGACCGCCCGAAAAGCGACCTCGTCATTTAGGGATCGTGCAGAAAGTGTTTTTTTCTCTCAGATTTATTCGGTAAATTACCGGGAGCTCGTCGCCTGCGAGTCTCAGGGTAGGCCGCCCCGCAGCACACTCATGCACAGCAGGAAAAGCGTTGCCTACCTATCAGGCGCTATCTAGGGGTCCCCCACTAGACAACTCGTTGTACACCTGCCCGCGCCCAACTCGCGTCGAACTCGAATCAACCTCGCAACAACTCACGAGAACTCGCGCCAACTCACGAAAATTTGCGAAAACTCGCGCTAAATTTTCAAAAAAATAGCGCAAAACTCTCAAAAAATTGATTCCAACTCGTGCCTAACTCGCGGCAACTAACTCGTCAACACGCCAACTCGTTGTACAACTATTTTGGAAGTGGGGGACCCCTCGGGCGCTATGGGAGCTTGAAATTGGCTAAACTTTGGCAGTTTCGTAACGACAAATGGAGGACGAACTCTCCGGATGATCCACTGTTAAAAGCCTGCGAAGTATTTTGCTCCTTTGTAACTACGAAGCATTTACTTCGCAATTACAACGTGATGCTTTGCAATTACGAAGTGACACTTTGCAATTGCAAAGCGATGCTTTGCAGCGTTTTCATTGCTTTGCAATTGCAAAGCATCACTTTGTAATTGCAAAGTAAATGCTTCGTAGTTACAAAGGAGCAAAATACTTCGCAGCTCTGCAAAGCAAATGCTTTGTAGGAATTTAACAGTGTCCCTTATGGAGACGCAATAACAGAACGGGGTTGGTTTGGTTCTCTTTAAGCAGAGATCTTTCGCGAACAGTGTCCACACTCCGATGCAGTCATAACAATAACCGAGCCGGTCCTATGGCGGGCGAGCGCTCATCCTCCGGCGGAGACTCCAGTCGGGGCCTGCAGTCGGCCCGATACTCTAGAGGAGAGCGATCGAGACTCGTTCCATAAATTCCAGCTCGTGGCGGCGCGGCGACGCGCTTCAAACTCTCCTCTCTCTGGGGGCCCGGTCCGGCCATTGCGCCATATCATCGTGCGGCATTGGTCGACCCGCATGCGGCGGGGCGGGGCGGGGCGGGGTGGGGCGTGAGGATGATTTGGTGTCCCAGTAAGTCTGCTAACGATGATCGTTTGGTGGGCGTCCGTTTCTTTGTCAGCGGCGTGCGCGGAGAGCGCCGGCGGTTTAAAAAAATCTTGGCGCGAGAGAGAAATTATTGGAAGAGCATTAAGAGGAGGAGAACAAGTAAGCATAAGAGAGGGAGAGAGAGAGAGAGAGAGAGAGAGAGAGAGAGAGAGAGAGAGAGAGGGGGGGGGACGCAAGTATTCACGAATCAAAGAACAAAATAAAAGATATGTGCGTATGCTGCATATGGTTGCACCAGTGAGAGGTGTCGGGTGGGGTCATCACATCATGCACAGGAGGTGATGGGTCTCAGCTGGCTGGTCTGCCATGGCCTACACACAAGCCTTGGTCGAAGCACAGGCCCCATACAGCCAAACCAAAAATGACTTGCCGAAAAAACATCGTTTCAACGCCCAGGTCGAAATTGACCACCGGAGGTATGAAAGAAAAGGGGTCGATAGTCGATAGTGAGGCCAATAATATCTATTAGTATCTCTCTACGATCTTGCTGAAAGGATCCTGGAAGGGCTCTGGCATAGACAAAACGACGTAAAGTTTTTTAGAAGCGTAGAAGAAGCAGGGCTTCCAAAGTTAAAGTTTTGTAGAGGGTCGTGCAAAATAAAAACATATTCTCTAATTCCGTCTAATTCCTTACAAATGAGAGGATTTTTTCCCCTGCCCCCAAGCCCAAGAGACAGACACTGCGAAAAATACTCGTAAGTTTACAGGAAAATTTTCCATGATGTGAGCCCGTAAAATTACAACTTAGGGTTGTAAAATTACAATCACTTTCTATCGACTTAAAATAAATCGAGGAGCAAAACTGGTTCGCCGTAAATTTACAACATTATTTTGTAATTCAAAATTACAAGAAATGTCGTAACTTTACGAGGAAATTTTTCACAGTGGACGGCACCGTTGCTATCTCGCTTCGCGGGCGGCCTTCATCTCGATGAGACTCCAAAAAGGCCCCACGTCGCTGAGGAAACTCTCCCGCTGAAATGCCGTTTTATGGGTTTTGATATAATATTACGGCTTCATCAGGGCGACGCGGCGGCCGCGGGGTCCTCCTGGGACCGCCGTCGTCGCCGCCCTGCGCACCGCAGACGCGCCCGGGTCGCCGCCCGCCCCGGGGAGCCGCACAGCCATCCGGGTTCGGGCGCGGCCCCGCGACATCCGTTGGGTAATGCGGCTGATGGCGTTTTAATAGTTAAATAGGAGGATGTGCCGGGTTTGCGCAGGAAAGCCGTCGCGGAGCCGGGAGAGGTGTCGGCGTGGTGTTCCCGCACAAGGCATGCGGCGGCGGGTGGTAGTAATCTATGAGGGGATGCGGATACGCCTGGGTGAAATTGAGTCTCAAATATTTCAAATGCCACTGGGATAAAGAGTCACGGACAGTAGTGTAAACCTTGATGCTCTAAAGATGGACAAGTCAAGAGAAGAAAAATAAGTGACAGCAGTACTCGGCTGCGTCGAGATACGTGGTTGTGGTTGTCTTGGGTGTCTGCGTCTGCCGAGGGGGGTTCACTTCAAGAAAACGTGTACAGAGTGCTCCGTATTGCACTTTATAACGAGATATCACGCCGCCGGTATTACATCTAACAATTTGCCATTTTTAAGCCTATTCTGATAGTTTTTTGGAATTACAGTTTGCGTAAAACCGTGTAATGTACCTAAAGGTTAGGTGTACAGGTATTACGCAAGGTTAACCCAAACCCCCCTCAGGGTCTGATTTATGGGAGAAACGTCGATGACGGGTGACAGTCGGCAGTTATCGAGGCGTCACATGTCGGGGTTCTCCTGTCGTCCGGAATGCTTAAGCCGAATAACTGGGGCGGGCGCCTGAGGGGCAGGCAGTCCCGTCGCACTCGGGTGTCGTGCGGCATTGCCTACCCACGCATAGGCAGGCGCCTGAGGGGCAGGCAGTCCCGT